TCTGTCGAGTTTCAGTGCAACATCGTGTGTAAACATGGAGAAACAATAAGGATTAGCTCCGGGTTCTGTCAAGTTTCGGTGTAACGTCGGGAAATAATATGTATTAGCTACGGATACCCTTTGGATTAGGTCTGCTTTAGACCCCGTGTGATAAGGTCCATGGAAAGAGAGTTCCCATCAGTCAGGCAGGGTTCAGGAAAGGAAGAGGCACTAAGGACCACATTGCAAACATATGATGGCTAATAGAGCGCACCAGGGAATTCCAAAAGAAAATCAGCATCTGCTTTATAGACTATAGCAAAACCTTTGACTGCCTAGATCATGAAAGGCTATGGAATGCCCTTAAAGACATGGGAGTGCAAGCACATCCGATAATCCTGATGAGGAATCTGTACTCAGGACAAGAGGCTACTGTCAGAACAGAATACAGAGAAACAGAATGGTTCCCAATTGGCAAAAGGATCAGGCAAGTCTGTATCCTTTCACCCTATCTGTTCAATTTGTATGCAGAACATAATGTAAGGAAACCAGGTTTGGACACAGACGAAGGAGGAGTGAAACTAGGAGAAAGGAATATCAACAATCTGAGATATGCAAATGACACCATAATACTAGCAGAAAACCTCACAGACCTGGAACACCTACTTAGGAAGATCAAAGAAGAAAGTGCTAAGCCAGGCTAAATGTTGAACATAAAGAAAACAAAAATAATGACCACCAAAAACCTTCACAAGTTCAACCTAGACAATGAAGAAATAGAAATAGAAAAAGAATTCCCATACCTGGGATCAAACATTGATAGAAATAGGGACTGCAGTCAGGAAATCAGAAGATTAAGAATGGGGAGGAGGGCTATGAAAGAACAAGAAAAAATTCTAAAATGCAAAGATATACAACTGAGTACAAAAGTTAGAATCATACAAGCCATTGTATTCCCTATTACCATGTATGGATGTGAGAGCTGGACAGTTAAGAAAGATGACAGGAAGAAAATCAATTCATTTGAGATGTGATGCTGGAGAAGAGTGCTGAGGATCCCATGGACAGCCAAAAGGACAAATAAATGGGTCCTAGAGGAAAACAAGCCAGAAACCTCCCTAGAAGCCAAGATGACGAAACTGAGGCTCTCGTACTTTGGACACATCATGAGAAGGCTCATTAGAAAATACCATAATGGAAGGAAGTAGGTGGAAGGAAGTAGGAAGAGAGGAAGACCACATGCCAGATGGATGGACTCTATGAAGGAGGTCACTATGGATATTAAGGTGTTGCAGGAATTAAGCAGAGCAGGGGAGGACAGAGGGTCTTGGAGATGTCTCATCCATAGGGTCGACATGAGTCGAGATTGACTTGAGGGCAGTTAACAACAACAATACTACCACCTAATACAAATTTGACACCAGATGTTGGCATTGTTAGGCACCTGCTCATACTCATGCTCCAGCTAATCCCTGGAGTCTCCTGATCATGCTGCCCTTTTTCCTTGCTACTGCATGTCTTCTCCCTCCACAGCCCCCATGAGAGGTCTAAAGGGAGAACCATAAAATCATAGAGTTGGAAGAGACCTCAAGGTCCATCACATCCAACCTCCTGCCATGCAAGAACACACAATCAAAAATGGCCATCCAGCCTCTGTTTAAAGACCTCCAAAGAAGGAGACTCCACCACTCTCTGAGGAAGAGTGTTCCACTGTCCAACAGCTCTTTCAGGAAGTTCTTCCTAATGTTTAGGTGGAATCTCTTTTCCTGTAGTTTGAATCCATTACTCCAGCTCCTGTTCTCTGGAGCAGCAGAAAACAATCTTACTCCATCCTCAATAGGACATCCCTTCAAACACTTAAAGAGGGCTATCACATCACCTCTTAACCTTCTCTTCCCCAAGGTAAACATACCCAGCTCCCCAAGTCACTCCTCATAGTTCATGGTTTCCAGACTTGATGGTATGAAAATTGGTGATCCATCAGAGGCATCAACAGCAAGATGCAGGAGGAGGAAGGGGAACCATTCACTGCCATAGGAAACCAATGGAGAGCATATCTTGCCTAAGGGGCTCCCAGAATCTAGAGCCATCACTGGTCTAGCAAACTGTGAAGGAATCAGTGAAGAAGGAAAATTGAGAAGTGTCCAATTCATTTCTCCCTCCTATCAGTTAGTGGGGCTATGGCATCAAGGCTTCCATGGTTTTAGTGCCATGACTGTTTGACTGGCTGGGACAACATCATCACCTATCTGTCTTTCCTTTTCTCTCTGCTCTGTGTATAGCTGCAGTCCTCACAATAGTGTGTGTATGGAGGGGAGGTGTTCCAACAATAATAAATGACCATGGCCAATCCCTGTTGTATTTGGAGATAAATTGGTCTTGGATATGCATTCAAGGCCCATTAATTTCCCCAAAGAGTGAAAATTTCTAGAACTGATTTTGCACAAGTGCCTGGTTTTTGGAATCTCCTCTTGGGGTTATGGCTGTGGGAAAAATCAGGATGAGCAGCTGCACTTCAAAATTTATTGCTGCACCATTTAAATTACAGCACACCAGACATTCTCATATGCCATAAAGATAAACTATTCTACCCAGTCTGGATCATAGACAAAAGCATAGGTTCTTTTACTTTTCGAGCTCTGGACCTGTGTATCTGTCAGCGTTTTTGCTGCTGCTGGCCAAATGGAGGCAGTTCTTGTTCCGTAAAGATCAGACAGTGGGACAAACCCCTGGAATATGATGTGTTGTTGAGCCAAAGCCATAAGCTGCTAAGCTTCCCTAAAGCCCCTCTTACATTCAGGCCACAAGACCCAGCCGCTGCTTTGCACATCTGTTCTGTGGCTATTTGTAGCTCAGCATCAGGGACTGTTTGTTTCCGAGGGGAGCCAATGAACAAACTTCCATGCCTTCATTTGCACTAAACTGGATGGAAAGTGATAAACGTGCAGTCCTAACAGATGTTCTCTTGTTCTCTGTGTTCAAGTAGTTCCAGTAGTTCCTGGCACAGCAACGCTAAGGTGAACCTGTCATAGGGTTTTCTTGGCAATTTTTGTTCAGAGAGACTGAGAGAGTGTGACTTGACCAGGGTCACCCAGTGGGCTTCCATGGCTGAGTAGGAATTCAAACCCAGTCTCCAAAGTCATAGGTCCAAAACACACTGCATAAATAATCCAGTTTGAGACCGCTTTAAACAGAGGCTGGATGGTCATCTGTCAGGGATGCTTTAACTGAGAGTGCTTGCATGGCAGGGGGTTGGACTGGATGGCCCTTGGGATCCCTTCCAACTCAGTGTTTCTATGATTCTATGAAATCTAAATTAGATTTAAACAGGGTTCAGTGCCATGGCATCCCCTGCCCTCCAGTGCTCCAGATATTCTAGCTTCGTTTTGGTGCTGCCATTACTGCAGATGCTGGTGGACCTGCTCTGAGAACATGAGTTCCCAAGAAATCTATCTGAAGTTGTTTCGTGATATAGTTCTTCCCATTAGGCAAACAAGGCCTTTGCTTCAGGCAGCAGTTCTGAAGATGTGAAGATGGATAAATATGCACACACTCCCACAGCCTCATCCAAAGTTTTTTTGAGGGAAAAGATCACCCATGGGCTTCCATGGCCAAGCTGGGATTCAAACCCTGGTCTCCAAAGTCATGGTCCAACGTTCAAACCACTATACCATGCTGGCTAGTGTGGCTCTGCTGGCTATTAAAAGATCTGACTCTGATCCATACACAGCTGTCTCTGATCACCTACTGGGACATCCGAGTCAGGATGTTAAAACAAAACAGAACCAGTATGGAACATTTTGGGAGATGCCTAAACACCCCTAAAGGCACCATATCCTGTCTGATCTTAGACGCTAAGCAGGGTCAACCTTGATTAGTACTTGTATGCAAGACTACCAACAAATATCTGGTGCTCTTGGCTATATTTCACAGAAAGGAAGTGGCAAAGCCACCTCTGAGTATTTCTTGCCTAAGACTTATTTCTTCCCATGAAATTAATGGGGTCACCATAACTTACCAGGATTTGAAGGCACATACAGACACACATATATGGAACATTCTTGCTCAGGGCTTCCGGTAGACCTGTCCTCTTCCAGAATATTCTTTTCTCTTCTATCTGTAGTTGAACAGCGATGGGTTCACCTGCTTCACCAATATTCTTTGCAAGAGACCTGTACTCAAAGTGTTTTAACTTAATTTTTTTTCTGTTTAAAATAAATTTATTGTTCTCATCTTTAGATACAACAGTACTGTGTTAATAAGACTCCTTCACACCAGGAGGTGAGAAGTTTTTAAAAGTGACAAGAAAAGAAGCAAAACAAATAAAAATAACCAGTACAAAAATGTGTTTAAGTAACTGTACAAAGACTTGAAAAGAATGGTTTTCAAGTTATATACATTTAAGTTGGGAAAGAGTCTCTAAAGGAGTACTCTAGATGTTCTTTGGAGGCAGATATAAAGAGAGAAAAGGGAAGAAGGTTCTATCCTGCAAAAAATCCAATGTTTAAAACAAATCTTCTGGAAATAAATGACATTACTGCTTTGCCAAGAAAAACAAGGCCCTGCTCAATGATATCTTGCAGGTGAATTATCTTATGTGGCAGATCCCATTATATGTCTTTATAATGTAAGACTTTCATAGTCTCACTTTTCATCTTATTTCTGTGTTTGTTTTGCAAGACAATCAGGACCCTGAGAGAAGACAATGCTGTTTTCAGGTTATGGTTTTACTCCAATGCAAGGAGTAAGGCATTGGAGATGAGCTATGGTGCATTGGCTATTCTGTATTCTTCTTGAATATTTTGCCTTTGGAGAACAAGATGTATCATTTGCATTAGTCAGAAGAAGAGCAGAGTCCTGAAGCACTGTTTTCTTTCATTCCAGTGTGTAAGTCTGTAATACTGTGCTCTGCTTGGTGGATCTTGGAGTTCTCTTAAACAACAGAAAAGTAGATACAACAACCCTGAAGTGTACAATATCCATATGATCAAAATTGCCTAAACCAGCATAGTTTGTTGTCAGAGCTAGATCAGAACATGATAGGTGAAGGAAGTGTGGATCTGTAGTTTCAGATGAATTTTGGGCTTGTGGAAAACCAAGAGGATAGCTTCTGTTGCCCTTGTAATCAAGAACCTTCTTCATCAAGATCTGCTTCTTTCAAGATGTCAGCAGAAGAAATACCTCTGGATACTTTCATGGCTATAACCAGATGGCTTTATGGAGACAAGTAAGGGTACAGTCCTAGTATGCAAGTATGTAAAAGATAATTTTGTGGTTTACAACTCTTGGATTCCCAACACTAGCATGTCTAGTGGTCATGATGGCTAGGAGTTTCTGGGAGTTGTAGTCTAAAAACTAACTTTTCCACACACTCTTTTCCACGCTACTGCCTATCCAGCTTGATATGGTCCCCAATCATTCGCCGTCGGTAGATCGCCAGGAAAATATCATTTTCTGTGGGGCAATCATAATGGCAGGAACATGATTTGATGATCATCATCTTGCGGACAAAAGAGTCACCTTCTGGACACTTGAATTCCACTTCTGTGGTGCTGGTAATGAGTGGAGTGCAACATCGCCCATCTGTGCAGCGGCCACAGAACTTGGGCCGGTAGGATCGGGTGCTGGTGCAGCCCGTGAACTCAAAGCGTATGGCTTGGGCAGACTTTGCATTCCTCACACACTTCTTTCCCTTCTGTAAAGAGACGTCAAAGTTATGGTTAAGGTACTTGGAGAGGGAACATATGAACACTGGAAGCTGCTTGGTCTAACTAGAGGTTTTATCTCCTACAGTTCCCCAATTACCAGAAAAACCTTGGAAATTATCTGAAAACTGAAACTGGAGGTGGCATGACATCACTCCTGGTTTGCCACCAACATGGCAGTGCAGCCTGCAAGGAGGGTCATAGGGATGAAAATCAAATCCTCCCATACGCATACACACACAATTTCCTCCCCTCTTTCAGCCCAAAAGCAGTTTTAGAGAGGTTCTCAGGGCCATATTTTAGTGGTGGGGTGGGCCAAGGGGAAAAGGGAAAAGTAGTAACATATTTTATTTCAACTTCTTACTGTGAGTAAGCCTTAGAAGAGAGGCATATAAATCTTTTGAGCTGGAAAAAAAATCCAGTATCTGATGGCCTCCTGGGGAAGGGTATGTGGCCAACTGAATCCTAGGATCCACAAGGCTTGGGGTTCCCACTGGTATACACTGACAAATAGCAGCTCCCTAATACTTGAGATCAGAGACTTCCCACCATAAATGGCTATTTTATAATTTAATGATTACATTTCCTCCAATGAGCTCAAGCAGCATACATGGTTCTACTCCTCTCCACTTTATTTTCACAACAATCCAGTGTGATTGGTCTTACTGAGAGAGAATAAGTGGCCCAAGTCAGTTTCTTGGCTCATTGGGGACTTGGACCTTGATCTTCCAAGTCCTAACCTGACACAAAGAACTGGGTACATGGTGAGGCAAGTCAATATAAGGCGCACACACACTGGGCCCATTTAGTCCACTTCCATTATCAAATTCTTATATGTGCTGATGTTCTAAATTTACACCCATTACAGTTTATACCACGGAAATCTCACTTTTTTTAACCACAACCACCAGAATCCTCCTTGGTGTCACCATGTGAAAGAGGCACATTGGAGATTTTCACATGGCCAAAATTGACAGGAGCATAGTGGGATGCTCATGTCACTATCGCACAATTGCATGAAGATTATCAGATAATGTCACACTACGTCACCATAATCATGTCATTATCCCGTGAATAAAGAGGAATTCTAGAGCCTTGTGAATCTCAGGATCCACAATGCTTGGGGTTCCCACAGGTGTAAACTGACAAATAGCAGCTCCCCAATACTTCACAATTCAATACTCCCCAATACACAAGGCTCGTGAATGAAAAGTAGTGCTAGAATTCCTCTTTATTCACGGGATAATGATGCAATTGCACAATAGTGACATGAGCATCCGACTATGCTCTCGTCACTTTTGGCCATGTGAAAATCTCCATTGACTGTGATCAGAGTTGCTTCACTTCCTGAACTGAAAGGGCTAAAGCAACAATGCTTCTCAGCAGAGCTTGAGGGGAGGGAAATCCCTTTTTGGATTACATGTCCCAGAACCCCTTATCCATTATGGCCAATGACTATTTCTACGGGTGGTTCTGGGAGTTGTAAAAGTAGCTTTTTTCAAGCTGTGCGAGCTACTCCAGCTAGCTGCAATGATACCTTGATGCTCTTCTCCAAGGGGACGTTGCAGAACCGGATCATGCAGAGCCTGCTCTCCTTCTCCAGATGGCACTGAGAGTTATTGTTCGTGATTCGTGTTGAGATGCCCATCCCACACGTCTTGGAGCAGGGACTCCATTTGGTGGTTTGCACCAAGCAGTTGTCTTGGAGGCTGTTCATCTTGAGATTGGGCCTGGGCTTGGGCTTCAGCTTGGGCTTGTGCACTGGATTTTTCCTGTGGAATGAAACTGGCAAAGGGGTTTATGTGAGCAACCTCTCAAAGGCAAAAGGAATTATGGCATTTACCATGTTGTTTCTCTTTGCCAGGTCATTCCCCTTTAACAAATAGCTCAAGTGGCTTCAAGATCACAAGAGATGGATTTAAAAGAAAAAAGGAGAGCTTTAACCCCTCATCCATCTTGGCTCTACAGTTTTTCAGAAAGGTATCTTTGCAAGTCCCACCTGGAGATGAAAGGAATTAAATGTAGAGCCATTTGCACAAGAAGTGCTTGCTCTGTTGTTGAGCTATAGCTCTTCCCTGTGTGATCCTGCCTTCTATACTCATCTTTCCTGCAGTGTATAAAATCCCTGTCAACAGAAATAGGGAAAGTGGGGCATGCGGCCACATGCAATCCCTGAACCCTACTTTTGCAGCCCCTGAAGCACCCATGTGGCCCCAAATCCCCCAGATCCACAGGAAAAAAATAATTTAGGTTGTGATTTTCAGGCATTTTTGTGCCCAAAGATGCCAGCTAGAGGTTTTGCCTCCTTTTATCACCCACAATTCAGGTTTTCTTGTTGTTGCTGTGTACCTTCAAGTCATTTCTGACTTATGGCGACCCTAAGGCACAGGGTTTTTTTGGCAAGATTTATTCAGAGGTTTGTCTATGGCTGAGTGGGGATTTGAATCCTGGTCTCCAGAGTCAGAGTCCAACACTCAAACTACTATACCACACTGGCTCTTGGGGCTCTATGTGTGGTTAAATCAGCATGTGAAGAGAGGAGTGCACTAACTACATCCCCTCTGTCCTCATTTTGCTGGTATGAAAAATCATACACCTGGAGTGGAAAGGCTCCTGTATGCATGTGATCCTGAACCCTGATCTTCTATATGTAGAACGAGCTCTCCATTTGAAGTGCATCACTTATTGTGTGAGCAAAGCCACGACAGAGTGGGTGTGACTATCACACCTCTTTTTCTGTTTTTGTTGTTGTGTGCCTCCAAGTTGTTTCGGACTTATCACAACCCTAAGGCTGACCCTATCATGGGGTTTTCTTGGCAGGATTTATTCAGAGGAGGTTTCCCATTGCAATCCTCTAAGGTTGAGAGAGAGGGACTTGCCCAAGGTCACCCAGCGGCCACTATGCCATGCTCTCTCCTTTTCCCATTTACTTTATCTCAAAGAGGTAAAGGAGGAATGTCCCTCAGGATATTAGA